GAAAAGCAAAATTTCAGCAATTATGATGCACGTTAAAATGTCAAGTTTTATTGTATTAGTATACATAAAATCTCACTTTCATTGGCAATAATACTTTTTATCTTTGCTGAATGAAAAAAAAAATGACGTATTTCCCGTGAAACAAGCCTCGAAACATCTGGTCAGACCATGTTTCATATACATGTGTATACAGTATGGGGTGCCAACTGTGTCAAAACTATAAGAAAATACATCAATAATTTCTAAAATGAACTGCTTTTAAGCATGCAACATACACAATAAGTTAACGTCTCATGTGGTCCACTTAACCATGTCCACTGACATAGAGGAGACGGTTTGGTAGGACTGTAAGGACCACACCCCAGACTGAACTTATAAATATTTGGGGATGCAGCACCATGCATCCCCTTCACTATAGTCTGACCAGACTGCTTGCTGTCCTTAGCTATCAGATCATGACGACTTAGTTGATAGAAATCTTAATAAGTTTAATGATAAACAGCTTGAATAAATGATCAAAACAACTAAACAATCAACAACGGAACATCAGATAGACAAACAACAGACAGACCAAATGTTATGAAAATCACTTCCTTAAATACAATAGAGAATATTCTAGAATAGAGTACATACACAGTAGAAAGTTCTAAAGAAGAGAGTTCTAGTAGAAACCATAGAGAGTTCTAGAAGGGACAAGACTATTACACAGGACATAATTAGATAATACAAAACTAACAGTAATAACTAATAATGTAAAATACAAGTACACATACATATGACAGTAACTCTTTAGTGTACTTTCCTCAACACTCCTCACTAAAGAGTGGATGTGTCCAGTTCAGTCATTCCATTTACAGCAGCAGGTTCAGCTACATGTGTATTGCGAGTAAGATTAATGTAGCTACCATAAAAATCAGGACGCCTTTTGATCTGAGTTGATCTTCGCTGAATAACTTATCCCTATTGCTCTTAAGTATTGCCTTCTTCATGTGAGTATCATCTGATTCTTCTTCATTTATTGTTTCAACCTCATTTTCTCCATTAACTGTTTCTTCCACTTGCTCTTCTCTTAGATTAATGCGTACCAAAGGCTGATCTTTCTCCTCATTGTAGTTAAAGAATTCTGTTTCATTAAAGATAACATCACGACTATATACTATCTTTAATTTCTGCAAATCATACAACCGATAACCCTTCCTGGTATATGGATACCCTAGAAACATGCATTTCTGCGATTTGTAATCCAGCTTTTCTTTTTCATCCTTTGGCACATGTCAATGTGTTACACAGCCAAAAACATGTAAATGTCTAACACTTGGCTTTTCTGCAGTAAGAGCTTCAAATTGAGTTTCATTCATCACAGCTTTGGTAGGACTATGATTTGGGAGATAAACAGCAGTGACCAGAGCCTCTGCCCAGAATCGTTGAGGGAGTTTAGCACCTGACAACATTGATTTAACCATCTCCACTAGAGTCCGATTGAGTCTCTCTACAACTCCATTTTGTTGTGGACATTTAGGGATTGTTAGCTCATGTTTGACTCCTTTCCTCAAGTATTCTTCAAACTCGTTAGAAGTAAACTCCCCTCCATTATCCATTAGCAAAACTTTAAGGCTTCTTCCTGTAGACTGTTCAACATAAGCTTTCCATTCGCAGAACTTCGAAAAAACATCAGATTTTCTCTTTAACACATAGACCCAAACAAATTGAGTTTTGTCATCAATGAGAGTCAGAAAATATTCTGCTCCACTCAATGATTTCAAATTAATTTTACTGCAGATATCACAGTGAACAATATCTAATGGCTCTTTAGCTTTAGACTCTGATTGAGCAGGAAAATAATCTTATGCTGCTTCTCTTCAATACATGACTCACAGAACTGTAGGATTCCTGTAGTAGACAAATCGAAATCATTCACCAGATCTTCTGAAGCAAGTTTCTGAAGATTATTAGAGCTCAAATGTCCATAGCGGCGATGCCATAGATCCTCCTTGTCAACAGTTGCAGCAGTATTTGCTTCAATGTAATGAGTTTGTATCTGATAGAGACAACCAACTTGTGTTGCCACAGCCACCGGCTTCTGATTTGAATCTCTGATCACAGCTGAATTCACAGAACTTTACCTTGTTTCCTCTTTCTGTACATTTAGAAACACTCAAAAGATTACATGACAAATTAGGAACTTACAGGACACCATACAATTTGCACTTACGGTACTTCTCATGTCCATTTTTTATTTTTTATTTCACAGAGCCTTGAGCAACAGCTCTTAAAGATCGTCCATCACCAAGTTTGACTTCCAGAGGGGTCTCCAATGGATATATGTGAGTGAAACACGCTTTGTCATTACACATATGACTTGTTGCTCAAGAGTCAACAATCCACTTGTTCTGAGACTTGAGAGTTTGCTACGCCGGTAAAGCATGTTCTACTACCAATCCTGCTTCTTCACTGTCAGAATCACCAGCAGGCTTCTTGGTTGTAGTAATATTAGCTTTATGAAATGTTACACGAGTACTCTGAGATTTGTTGACACCAGTACTACTTCTGGTTCCACTTTGAGTTAGAGCCTTCTCCATTTCCTTACAGAAACGTTGGATATGTCCAAACCTTTTGCAGTAATGACATTTAGGACCTCTCCTAGCTTTATGCTTTGCTGTCAGGCCTTCCTCAGTTTCATTCACAGCCTTCCATTCAGTCTGTTTCCTTTCTTTATGTCGGAGCTTTTAATCACTGTTTCTAAGTTTGGTACATCACTGTTTGCTTCAAAGGCAGTGACTAGCATGTCAAAAGACTCCGGGAGACTAGCAAAAGGATAAACTACACGGTCTTGACTAATATTGTCTCCAATCACACTCAGCTCCTAAAACACTTCTGCCATGGACTTAATATGCTCCTGAACAGATTGTCCTTCTCTAGTCTGAGTGAATGCAGCTTGCGTCTCAATGCTAAACGATTAGCCCAAGTTTTCTTTTAAAAATGATTTGAGAGCAATCTCCAAACTTCCACAAGATCATCAGGTTCACCAACCAAATATAATAGTGATGGATCAATCGAGAGAATTATTGTGGCCAAGGCTCGATCCTTTCGCGTCTGGAACTTAGCAGCACCATCTCCATACTGGGCTCTCTCCGTTCCATTGACTATTCCCCTCAGCTTCTCTTTCATTAATGTCATTTGACACTGGTAGCTTCCATGTTGGATAATTAGAACCATTCAGAGGAACTATCGTGACAAACTTTGACTCCGCCATTTTAGAGAACAGCTGGGCTCATAACCTGATAAAAATCTTGATAAGTTTAATGATAAACAGCTTGAATAAATGATCAAAACAACTGAACAATCAACAACCGAACAACGGATTGAGAAACAACAGACAGACCAAATGTTACAAAAATCACTTCCTTAAATACAATAGAGAATATTCTAGAATAGAGTACATACACAGTAGAAAGTTCTATAGAAGAGAGTTCTAGTTGAAACTATAGAGAGTTCTAGAAGGGACAAGACTATACAGGACATAATTAGATACTACTAAACTAACAATAATAACTAATAATGTAAAATACATGTACACATACATATGACAGTAACTCTATAGAGTACTCTCCTCAACATTAGTGACTAAGTTAGGTCAGTTTAGACATCACTATCAGCCTGATAATGCCAAACCCTGAGGGGCATTCATACTGAGGGTTAATATTGGCTATGAACTAGGATAGGGTAACTCTCTCTCACTAACCTTTCATTTAGGTTTCTACCTATTTGAATTAGTCTCACTCTATCCACAGTGTGCAATTGGCACAGGCTCCTATTTACATCTATTCAATGGTATGTAGGCAGTGATACAATACAATGGGGAGTGAGTATTGCAGATATGCAATATTCTCCACTGGTGCACTTGTATACATGGTGCACCACACTCCCCAATACCGAAAACACACTGTAACTAAACAAAACATGACCACAAAAAAGAAAAACAAAACAAGACAAGCTACAAATAGACAAAAAGATTATTTGGAAATAAATTAAAATCAAGTTAGAGAGTTCAGCTAGACACCAGTGTGCGAGAGACAGAAGCCAACTGCTGGTGAGATGTCCTCACATAGTGTTGGAAGGCAGATGACCGCCACCTTCCCAGAGTTTTAATAGGGAGTCACTCATGCCAGCTGCAGCTGCTGTAGTCGCAGCACCAATTCTAAAAATATGCCCACGAAAGCCTGAGATTTTGTTCCCTACAGTTTGAAAAGCATTCTGCAGCTCCTTCACAAGTCTGGCTCTAGAATGTGGAGTTCCATCGTTATAAAGGAAGAGTAGACCAGAACATGGCTGTCTTATAGCCAAATAGGGTAACATTGCACTAACGGCACACAGAGTATGCCCAGTTCTTGCCATATATATCGTTGTACCAACTCCATATGGGTCGGTCTTACTGTGGTGAAGGAAGATTGATAGCATAGTTGGGGATGTGTGTGAGTCCATGCGAACATCTCCAGCAGCTAGCACAAAGCTCCCAGGAGATGAAGTGAACTCTCCAGCCTGTAGGAATGCAAAAAAGCCAAGACAGAATGCTGCCCACAACATGACCTTGTCATCCTCCAGCGGTACTTTGGACCACACTGAATGAAGAGCTCTGAACGACTGTGGAGAAATGGGTAACCTCTTCCTTCTGCGGTGTAGGCAGAGGGCCCTCCGTATTTCACACAAGAAATAATGGAGCTGTAGCAGGGATGACAGCAATGGGTCTGATAATCGTTGTGATATCTGCATGTATCTGATAGCTGCTAGATTTATGTTAATAGTGCCAAAAGAGAGAAAAGATTTATGAAGAAAAGTGACAAATCTACACAGTATGATTTCAGTCAGTGGTAAGGGGATCAATTGGTACTGTCTACAGAATAATAGGTATTTGCTTCTGCCTGAAGAGTATGAGGCAAGTGTTGATGGGGAAAGATCTCCTTCAAAGAACTGCTGAACTGTGTAGTCGAGGCAACCGAGCCTCAAATTGGCAGTGACCGAACCAAAAGGTCTAGAGTTGCTGAAGGTATGGGGGACCAGGGAGTCAGTGGAAACAGAGAAAAGAATGACAGTAAATCATTGCGTGATAATGCATCTGCAGCCACGTTCATGTGACCTGGAATATATAACACAAGAGTACGAGAAATTGAACATGGCACAATACAGAGAGAAACATAGCAGGAGATGCATTTGGTAGTTTGTCTGTGCTGTACGTGACTGCAGCACACAAACTACTCTCATATTATCTGACTGGAAATCCACATGTTGACTTGTCCAGAATCTTCCCCACACAGCTGCTGCTAAGACTACTGGGGCTAACTCCAGTGCAGTAATCCCAGGAAAGTCTGAGCCATGAAGCCAGGGTATGGAGAACCACCCCTGCCTTGGGCAAAGGCCCCGCAACCGAAGGTTGTGGAGGCATCACTGTAAACATGGACTGTAGGTACAGGAACCAGAAAAAATGAGTGGCCATTCCACCTCTGCAAAAAACAATCCCACCAGTACAAGTCCGCTGTTTCTGTTGTAGTCAACTGAATGAAGTGCTGTGGCTTATTGACTTTGTGTAGTAACTTAAACAACTCCCTCAAGAAAGTGCGACCCAGCTGAATCAAAGTGGCTGCATGTACCAAGTGTCCTAGAAAACGCTCCAACTCCTTGCGAGTGCCAGAATTCCTTGATAGCCACATTGCCATCATACCCTTGACACAACGAAGTTCATCAGCTGGAATAAGTTGAAAAGACATGGTGTCAAGGACAATCCCAAGAAAGGTAAGGCTTGTAGATGGACCCTTGACCTTGTGTGTTGTTACTGTAGCAACAGGAACACCCAAGACATCCAAGATCTGCAGTGCATTAACAAGCATCTCTGCCCCATTCTGGTCAGATGGGTGAACAAACAGTAAAAGATCATGCAAATAATTAATCTGCTGTGGTAATCCACAACAATGCAGAGCCCAGGCTATCATGTAAGCAACTGCAGAGAATATCTTGGGAGCAGACCTGAGGCCAAATGGAAGAGCACGATCAAGATAAGTGACATTCTGCCAAGTTATTGCAAGCAAATACATATCATGTGGATGTACAGGAACAATCCAGTATACATCCTTAAGCTCAATTTTGATAAAGCCCGTGCCCCGCCCCATCTTCACAATCTCTGACACTGCTGAGTCTACGGTTGAGTATAAGAGTGAGCACAATGTTTTGGGATGCCATCATTGACACTGTGGTCATAGAGAAAGGACAGATCCACAATCATTCTCCACTGGTTATGCTGGCCTCTCTTTGGGACTAAGCCAATCGGGCTTACGTGCACCTGGCAGTGATCCACAGGACCAACCAAGTGGCCCTGGGCCTGCTCAGAGTGAATACGTTCAGTAACAGTGGTGAGTTGACTTATAGCCCACGGATGATTTCTACTTGCAATCCTTAGCTGTGTCTTTGTCTGCTGAAAGCCAATCCTAAATCCTCTAGAAAAACCTTGAGCAATGTAAGCTGCAAAGGCTTGATCAGGATGACTAGTCTAAAACTGAGTCCAGTTTGGAAGATGCACTGGTGACACATAGCAGGGCCAAGCAGCATGGCCTAAGAAAGTACTAACATTGTCCAAGTCCAAAGGGTCTTGAGTGTAAAGGTAGCAGCCATTTTTTATGTTGCAGTGAGGTAGAGACAAAGGGGACTAGGACAACAATACATGTAACTCTAGTGGGGAACAGTAATTCACAATTTATCATCATCAAAGGAAAACATCAATAAAGTCATAATCAATAATTGTAGTAGCCCATAGGTCTAAGTATCATAAATGAAAAACAATTAAGCATCACATGGCAAGGCTAATACATACACAAAATGAAGTCAACAGTGTTCATTTGGAAGGTGGTCCAGACCACCACTGCTTGTCAGGGGCAACAGGTGTAGCTCTGGTCCTCCTGTACTTAGAATCAGGGGTAACTCAGGACAGTCCCTTGCCCTGTGATCACGAAAGCATACGGCACAAACATGCCTGAATGCATATCTTGGGAAAACACATTTGCCTCTGTTCCATGAAATACATATTTGCAATGTAGACTCAGCTCTTACACATGTTAGGCCTTGGTAACGGGGGACGGACAAAGAATGGTAAAGCACAGTGTTCTGTCTTATGATCAGCCTCAAAGCAGTAAGTACAAAATGTGCCAGGATGTACAGGGCCTCTGCCCAAAATAGTAGCTGCCTGTATATCGGAGTGAATAATGATCCAAGGTTTAGATGCATCAATTGCTGCCTGCTGCCGGAAGATTCTATCACATTCCATCCAGGCATTCCCAGGGTGCTTCAATGATTCCTTAATCAGAAGACGAGCATAAGCCAGCATATGTCTTGCATTGTGGTCGGGTGTACACATGGCAATATGAGCCATAAAACAATACAACCACGACATAATAGATGAGATCTCCTCAAGCGTGGTCTTGCTGGGCCTTACAAAGCTGGGTTACTTCCAATAGGCTCCAGACGACTCAGGAGAGTAGTGTTGTCAGAAAGCAGCTCTCGCATTTCCACAAGCTGACCTGATCTGACCTTAGCCACCAGCTTCTGAGGGAACAGTTCGAATGAAGGAGACAGGCTAAAAGCTTGAAGACTGGGTGACAAAATGTCGGAATCACCTGGCACCAGTGGTGGAGACACAGGTGGCTGTACAGCTGGGCCCAAAGAATGCAGCAAAGGGACACTAAAAAAAGCAGCTGGAGTTGGCATTGAACACAGGCCTAGAAAAGACAGAACAAAGCAATCTCAGGAGGTTGATTCCAGCCCTGTGCAATCACTGTCATCCAATAGCCCAGTTGTTTGGATAGCCCTACCACAGTCATGACAGTACCCCCCACAGAGACAACCACAGAACCTCCCCACTAGCAATTAAAGGACAAGGTGCGGTATAAAAAGCGCGGCCCTGGGCATGGTGGCTTCTGTTTTATTCACATGTAAAAATGTCAGCTCTAGTTTGTGTTGCTTCTTCAAGAAAAACGCAGAAAGAAAGGGGTTTTGGTACCAAATGGACTTCCATTTTACACTCAAAGAAGACAATGACCAGCTCTAGTTAGGCTTGATCGAGTAAAGGGGTCTTTAGGCACTAAAAGAAGGCGCTGGAATTGCTGTCTCATTTACTCGCCGATTTAGTTTAAAATGAGAATCATTCTGAGGCTCTATCACATGATACTAGTAGTTCTTTTGCTATGCTCAATACTTCAGGTAGTTATAATGTGTTTAAATTAGTGATTATGTATAAATAAGGTATAGGTGATGGGGACGAATAGCAGCCATTTTGTGCATAGATATAGAATTGGCTATGGGGAAACATACGTTAGTGTGGTATGGTTGACCGAAGGATGATCAGTTACAGACAGGTATTCTTTGTTAGTATTATTATTATTATTACTATTATTGTCAACATCATCGAAACTATTCATAATTTTAGATCGTCATGTGATTTGTGCTGAATTTCGATTCAATGTCAGTTGTGAGTCCTGTAATCGTAATTCAAGTTTATTAGGCACTAGATACAGAAGTAAGTATTATTTGTAATGTAAAGTAATCATAACGTGGCATTAATATTTTAGGCTTGTACTAGCATTTTTCTTGTGCTCGTATATTACCATCACAGTACTGCCATATTTTTGTCGGCATCACTGGGTACTATTGGGAAGAGGTACACCGATACAGGAGGCTCCTCACCATCACCATATCTATTCAACCCTATAATGTTTATTTTTTTTTAATTTAGAATTATATTTTTGTATTTACTTCTTTCAGTAGATCGTAGAATGTTACAACTGCTACCAGTACTAGGATCTGAATGAGGACCATTTTGGGGTCTTTTGCTGGAACCACTTATACTTGATGATAGTGGCTGATATATTGTAGTCGGCAGGGCTGTCTGGTCCCAGTGGTGGCTGTTCTTGGCCTGGTTTTCTGTGTAGTAGTGAGGGCTATTCCCTTGCCACTATCACTTATTACCTGCCTGAAAGCATCTATGACCGTGTTTTTTCGGCTGTTGACAGATTTTTCAGAGTATACAATATAATATTTCATAATAATGTAAAATTATTACTTCAAGTCAATTATAACATTTCTATCCTTGCTATGCTTTCTAGGTGTGCTTGTAGGTTAACTCTCTCACCTTTGCTAATTAATGTTTTTATAATGCATTTTGCTAGTGATTTAGCCATGATAAGGACAGTGCCAGTGTGGGAGCCATTTTGTTATTTTCAAATTTCATTCAATCTGGCCTCCATATTGTGCCCAGGGCACCTCCTTTTATACAGTAATTGACGGAAGCGATTTCATGACATACGTTGCGTGAATAGTTTTATAGTGCACCTTCTTGTTTAACCAGGACAGTACACAACCATAAGGTCACGTCACATGCAATACATTATCAACATTTGCAATGACACATAGAACACACTCATGTACACAAACAGCAAACACAATCAAACAACTAAAATTATGGCCATATATACATGCTATACACAGACAGCCATGGCATGCATAGGCACCCAGACCAAGTGGCCAAGCAACAAAACCAAGAGGCACGACCATGACCTTGTTAGAGGCTACAAGGATTGCCATGGTACAAGGCTGTCACAAGTAAACAAACAAACAAACCAAACCAAAATGCTAGAGTTGGTCCATACAATACATCAACACACACATGCCATCACACAACTATGTCCCGGTTTCCCCTTAAGTACTCCTCTGAACTGCTCACAAAGGTTCTGTAACTGCTCCCTTTGTTGTTTTGACAATGTATTACCCATTGTCAATGGTGAACTCTCACATTTAGTGTTCCAGTTTGCTAACTCATCCTCATCATCCCAACACAAGTTATTTGCCTTACCATCCTCTGTCTTGTCCCTCACTTTGTCACAATAATAGTCAGCAACCTCTGTCTTCCTGCCACTCTCTTAACAAATTGATGTGAAAGATCTTTCTCTTTGAAATCTGCACCTCGTAGTACACTTTTCCAATTCTTTGAACAATCTTATACGGTCCTCTCCATTGGGCTAGTAGTTTATTACTTGAAGTTGGTAGTAGTACCAATACCTTGTCCTCTGGGGATAGTTCCCGTTCTCTAGTTGTCCTATCATACCATCTCTTTTGCTTTGCTTGCTGCTTCTCTGTATTTTCCTTGACTAGTTCACTCATCACTTGCATCCTCTCCTGCATTCCAATAATATGTGACACAACACTCTCTATAGTCTTCTCTCTTGCTTCCCACTCCTCCTTCAGGACATCCAAGTGTCCTCTGACTTCTCTCCCAAACAAAAGTTCAAATGGTGAGAATCCAGTGGTTGTCTGTGGGACCTCCCTATAAGTAAACAACACGTATGGAATAAACTTATCCCAATCTCTGCCATCTTCTCTGATTAGTCTCCTCAGTAGTGACTTCAATGTCTTATTAAAACGCTCCACAAGACCATCTGTTTGCGGATGATATGGTGTCGTACAAATCGGATGAACATTCAACAGCCTGTACATTTCCTTTCATAGTTGTGACATATTTCCTGAGGTATACCATACTTTGCAAAAATTCCCATCAGTTCCTCTGCTACTGTTTCAGCATCAATGTTCTTTATAGGTATCGCTTCAGAAAACCCAGTAGCATAATCACATACTACAAGTATGTAGCGGTACTTCGAGGCAAAGGACCAACTATGTCCATCGCAACCCGATGAAATTGTTCCTGGATGATTGGTAATGGCACTAAGGGGACTCTTCTTTGACCATGTGAGTCTGTCCTTTGGCAACATGAACACTTCCTACAATACTCCACCACATCTTTGAATAGAGTAGGCCAGTAAAATCGTTGTTGGATTCTACGCACTGTCTTGTCCAGTCCCATGTGTCCAGCAAGGGGTATTGTATGTGCCAATTCAATCACTTTCTTTCTACATGCTAGGAGTATGACCAGCTGCTCGACCGATTCTCCAGTGTAAGTCTTGGGTGTCCAGCAACGATACAAAAAGTCCCACTCTCTTCAAGAAGTTGGGTTTCTTCTCTAAGCTTTGAATCGTTTTATCTTTTTCTTGTAATCACCTTATTTCCTCCTGTGATAAATCCAGCACCCAATCTCATCCCTTTTGCTTCTCTTTTTCTTTCCTTGCATGTTCATACCGCTCTTCTCTCTTCTGTGACCTTGTCTGTTTTTTCCTTAGTTTTCCCTCCTGTAGAAACATGTGATCAACAAACTGCAGCCCAACTTCCAACCAGCTGCAATTATTCCTCTCCTCCTGTGGCTGATCTCTGTCCTTCTGTACTTCCTCGCCTCCTTTGGCCACCTTTGTCCTCTGGTTCCTCAGATAATTGTCATCCATTATCTATGGCTGGGGTGAGTTCCAGTGTTCAACTCTTGAGCATCTACTTCCACTGTTGTTGTTTTTGCTCCTGATTCTTTTTCTTTCCGTTGTAACTCCTCTTCCTCTTTCTTCTGTCTACGAGCCCCGCTCCTTGTTAAGACAGCTAATCCACTCTCGCCTCTCTCCTCTCTGAGTAGGCTATTTAACTCGGGCACATTTGTCCCCAATAGAACTGACCTTGGTAACGTATCCGACACCGTTGCTTCCACCTGAAGCAACTTTCCACCTACGTCTATCTCTACAACTGCTACTGGGTATGAAACTATATCACCATGAGCGCACTGAATCGACACAGTGTCTCCTTGAAACTTCTGTTTATCTACCAGTTCACTCCTCACCACAGTTCGAGAACACCCGGTGTCCAACTGTATGTCCTTCACGACTCATCCCTCCACTCATCCATATAGTAATCCCTGATTTAACAAATCCTCTCGTAAACCACAAAACATTGCTTTTGGGCAGTTCTTTGCTATATATCCTCTGGTTTTACAATTGTAGCATGTAATCTGAGGTTTGTCTATATCTTCTTTGCTACTCTTGTCTAGATTTTTCAATTGGCGGCAATCCTTAGCCAGGTGACCCACCTTAGAATTGTGACATCTTTTCTCCTAAACCTTCCTCCCAATTGCTGCCTCCCACTTGTCCTTTTTTGCTTGTCAAAAAACTTCCGCTAACCAACCTGCTTCCTTGCTTGCACTCGGTTTACGCTCTTTGACCCATGTCCTTGCTTCTTCTGGTAACACATTCACAAACTGCTGCAATATAACACAGTCAATAACTTCCTCCCTAGTTGTGCATGACTCCAGCCACTTATCTGCAAGGTCTGTAATCTGTGTCAGCATCTTCAACAGTGTCTCTGTTCTTTTGATGTTGGCTGATCGAAATCATTGTCTGTAAATTTCTTCATTAATGTCATAGCACCGAAAAATCGCTTCTTTAACCTTCATATAATCCTTAGCGTCTGCGTTTGCCATTGCAGCGTAAGCATTGAGAGCCTTCCCGGTTAGTTGTGGAGCTAGCATTGCTGCCCATTCTTTCTGGTCCACATTTTGGGCATCCACAGCTCATTCAAAAGCTGTCAAAAAAGCTTCTATATCATCTGACTCACCCAACTTTGTCAGTTTAAGAGCCTCTGGCCCCACAGCCTTCTTTTCTTCTGTCAGGCTCCATATCAGTTCCTCGTAACGTAAGCGGTCCTCTTCTCGCTCTCGTCTCCTATCTTCTTCCTTTTGCCGTAGCTCTTCCTAATACCTTCGCCGATCTTCTTCTTATTTTCACCAATCTTCTTCTCGGCGTTCCATTTCTTGTCACTGCTCTTCCATTCGTCCTTCTTCCGCTTGCCGTTTTTCTTCCTCGAATCGTTCCTTCTCGTCCTTTCGTTGTTGCTCCCATTGTTTGAGTAATTCCAGTAGTTCAGCCATAGTCTTGTAGTTATTTCCAGACCTCAGCATTCACACATATACACGAATTATAATTTGAGTGCAGGCTACCAGTCGCTGCACCACTGCCACCAAATGTAACAGTGTTCACCAGAAGTAAGTGGTTTCATATTATGTTTTTACCAAGCAAGGAACCAACTATTTACAAAAATCACATATTTATAGCAAGGTACAAATCTGGAACCTTCTAGTCCAGAAAGTTCCAGTACACTAAAAGAATAGTCCACACAACAAAGGAATAGTCCAGTAAATGAAAAAGAATAATCTAGAGTGTTCTTAAATGGTACACAAAAATTAAATGCCTGTCCTATCTTGTTTCTACTATTACATATGAATCATCTCGTATGCATCAATCTACAAGCCAAAATTTCTCAATATAGTGGTCTGTTTACCTTAGGCGAAGAAACAAATACCGTTTTAAATATGCTTTCTGAGGAGGATGCCACTACCCTAAAATTTGATATGGTTGATTTTGGGAATGTCCTTGCTCAGAAATGGCAAGATACAACAGCTAGAAACATTGAAGAAGTACAAGCTCTTTGGAAAAGTGCTGTTGTCTTAGATCCTTTTTGAAATGTAGTCAATCACAAATCTTTGAAGACTACAGCCTAATGTTTTCTTTAATTTCTAAAGAAAGTGAGACTATTGAACTCAAGAAGGATTTCAAAGTTTATCTTAAGGAACCTCTTCCAGACAACCCAGAAATGAAGATTTTGGACTATTGGCTAGGTGTACAAGTTCTGTATTTTTACGTGAGTGCTGCTGCCATACAACTGTTATGTATTTCTACTGGAAGTTGTGATGTTGAGCAAAGTTTTAGTTTGATGCATAACATACTAACATCAAAACGATCATCAATGAGTGAAGATACACTATGCATGGAAATGGTGATGTACTGTAACGAGGACATTAAAGGACACTTGGCTAACTTTTAAGAATTAAACACTGATATGAAAGTTCATTTTGTACTTGTCATTTTTTGACATTAATGTAACCACTTTTTCAATTTTATTGAATTGGGTAAAACCCGATTTTGCCAGGATTTAAGCATTTGTAATTTTAACCCAATTTTTACACCTCGATTAATTTTTTTAATTTCATCCCCGTAAATTCCAGCCCTACTTGCAAATCAATGATTATAGGTAGCACAACTGTGACAAAGTTGACCCTTGATAGCACATTCTAGTAGCTATCTATCAACATTAAAAAAGCAGCATATGAAGACCACAAGTTTTTCAGTCAATTGAAAGACTGGAGAGGCTGTAATTATTCTTTGAATGATCAAAGTCAAGCGTTTTAAATGTAAATAGTTTCACAAGAATGTTACTAAATGCTCAAAAACAAAACTTTATGACAAGCAACTTCTAATATCCTAATCGTTCTAGTTATAGCAATGTTGCATGACGTATAAGTGAGTACATAGTGCATACCTTGCCACAAACTATGTTAACTGTAGTTTGTTCACTTAGAATATATGCAAGAAAGTGAGAGTGAATCTCAATTCAACTACTCATGAATAATTATCTTTGATGTTTTTAGCACTGCTGAGGGGTTTAATTCATAGGAAATGCCAGACCACAATGTCATTAGAAATGTATTTAGGATTAAATGATTTTTATTCCAAAGTTTAGACAGTTCCTTGGCTTGCATTTGATATAGTGAGATCATCTTAACTAGTTCCAGAAAGTGAGTTCTCCTTTGATTCACTTCATTCTGCAATGCTCCACCATGCCATTTTGCCACAGAAAATGGTGTGTGGTAAAACATAAATATGATTAAACGGCATTAGGGAAAAGTATATTTTGTGCCAGTTAAATAGAATGCATTAGGCAGGAAATACGCTCCCATATGAACATGGAAGCTAATGAGGGGGCTTTACACTAGTATCAAAAGGTGGTATGACTGGATTGAAGCATGATAGGCTGCTGCTTTTGCACACCAGGCGTTATAACAGTCATAATACAAGAATTTAAGAAATTTCATTTAATACTCCATTCTGTTGATTTATTATTGATTGATAAGAATAAATTTTTGTTGACTTTTTCCCTTTTAGACAAAATGTGTCCCTGGTTTATGGTGGATGCAGTAAAATTTTTCAAGGCTATCTTTATGGTGGATGCAGTAAAATTTTTCAAGGCTGTTGTGGAATTTGATTCTCCCAGTTGGGACTGAGGGTGCTTCTAATTTGAAGCATCTTGCGTTCTTTCTGCCAGCAGAATTTTATCCAACGAGGGTTTTTTACATGCAGGCAGTTTTTTCCCTTGAGGACAGAAGGAAGTCTCTACTCTAAATGGACACCGAACTACCTTGAAACACATTTTTTATTATGTTTA